AAATGATGGATTACATTTATTGACATATATATGTCAGAGAATCTCTGCCTTGCTAGAATGAAGCCCACTGGATCACAATGAATGATCGTTTTGGTGTTTGCCAGTATTTTATTGGAAGTTTTTGTATCTGTGTTTATCAGGGAGATATGCCTGAAATTTTCTTCGTTGTTGTTGTTGTTGTTGTTGTCTGAGTTTTAGTATTAGGTTAGTACTGACTTTCTAAAAAGACTTTGGAAGCATTCTTTCCTTTCATGTTCTGGGGGATGCTTTAAATAGCAATGGTGTTGGTTCTCCTGTGAAATGCTGATAGAACTCTGTTGTGACTGCATACAGCCCTGGGCTATGTTTAGTTAGGAATCTTCATATCCCTGCTTCAGTCTTACTGTTGGCTATAAATCTCTCTAAATTATTTCATCTTAGTTTAATTTTGGTAAACCATATGTATCTAAAAATTCAATTTCCAATGTAGTGTAGCACAGTTTTTATAGTCTGTCCTCATGGTTTCTGAATTTCATTGTCGTGTATAGTAGTGTCCCTCGTTCATGTCTAGTTTTCTTGCTTTGGACATATTTTCTTAGTTAAGTTGACTGTCAATCTTGTTTGCCTATTTAAAGAACTAACTTTTCATTTCATTGGTTCCTCGTATTGTTCTTGCTTATATTTCATTAATTTCTACCCTGATCTTAATTATTTCTTCCCATCTCCTGCATTGGGTTATTCTTGTTTTTCAGGACCCTAAGGTACCTCTCTCAGTTGTTTATTTGAGCCCTCTTAAAACTTCTGACACAGGCACCAAGCACTGGAGACTTACTTACAGCTGCCTCCATTCTGTCTCATAGATTTGGTGTTCATACACATTTTAGAGATTTTTTTAATTTCCTTTTTGATTTCTTCAGTGGGCCATTCATTATCCAATAGTGGATTGTTTGATGCCCTTGAATTTGCGTGTTTTCTGTAGTTTCTCTTACTGTGGATATCTTGCTTTATTCTATCATAGTGAGATGCAATACAGAATGTTATTTGAATTTCCCTGTAATTGTTAAGGATTTCTTTGTATCCTGAAACATGGCTTCTTTGGGAAAAAGTTGCATGTGCTGCTGAGAAAACTGAACTCATTAGTGTTTGAGTGGAATGGTTTGTGTCTTCTTAGTATCCTTGACTTATGCCTTCACTTAACCCCAGTGCTTCTTTTTTTGGGGGGGACAAGATGAGGGTCTGGATGACCTTTATTGAATTCCCTCACAGTTACTGTATTGGGCTTAGTCTGTGACTGTGTACACACAGTCATGTTTGTTTTATAAGCTTGAGTGTGCCTGTTCAGTGCGTTCTCTAATGGGACCTGGACATCTGGAACTAGGTTACTAGTCGAGTCTTCCATGGTGTGTTTTCAGCAGTATCTGTGAGAGGGCAGTGGACAGGGTAGCTTGAGGGAGGCTGCGGTGGGTCAGAGGCAGGCTGGGGTGGGACAATCTGTTCTACGCTAGTGTGGTAAGTCAGCAGGCAGGGCTCCCTGGGTCATGTCCACTTTGCACTGGCATTATTCCCAAGTTCTTGTGTCTGATGCTGTCTTCAGAACTTGAGATTCCCTCTCCTGTTAAAATGATGGTTTTCTGGTTGGTGTGGAAACCTTCCAGAAGCCTCAGTGTCACTGAGGTGTGCCCTGAGTAGTTCTGGGTTGGGAGTTTCCCCAGCAATGGCCAAGAGGAGTTTCTGTGACCTCTCCTCGGCTTCAGCCTGTAAGCAGAAGCAGCAGGCGTGGCTGCTACCTTCTCTTGCCTCTCCTGCTGAACAACTTTCTCTTATCTTCTACTGTCCTTTCTCTTGGTATACACAACCAAGGGCTCTCAAATCTCATGGCCAGGGCTTGAACTAGGATGTGGTGGCAAGCTCTGACCTTACTGATCCCCAGAGTCTCTCCTGGGCAACTCATGGAAGGACCATCACCTCCCTCGGGTGAGCACCACTGGGTCTCTTTGCCATCACTCAGCTCTGGTCCCCGCAGGGTCTTACCTAGACAGGATCTCACCTGGGCAGGGTCCCATATGGGCAGGGTCTCACATGGGCAGGGTCTCATATGGGCAGGGTCTCACATGGGCAGGGTCCCACATGGGCAGGGTCCCACATGGGCAGGGTCTCACATGAGCAGGGTCTCACATGGTCAGGGTCTCACCTGAGCAGGGTCCCACATGGGCAGGGTCTCACCTGGGCAGGGTCTCACATGTGCACAGTCCCACATGGGCAGGGTCTCACCTGGGCAGGGTCCCACATGGGCAGGGTCTCACATGGGCAGGGTCTCACCTGGGCAGGTTCCCACCTGGGCAGGGTCTCACCTGGGCAGCTCTTTGCCCACTTTGACTTTGCTTTCCTTATCGCTTCTTTCTAAGGAACAATTTCATCCTTCCCTTTTTAAACTTTACCAAAACAGAAACAAATTGAAAGCATAGAAGAGGTTCTGTCCTCCAAGGGAGCTCCACAGCTCTCACTCCTCCCCACTCCCCAGGGGTCTACCTTTTATGCCACAAACCTAAGGCTGCCTAAGAACCATCCTACAAAAGCAGAATTTTAGATTTGAGATTAAATTTCTCAAATTTTAGTCACATCTCTTGCAGGAAGGGACCTTTATAAGGGATAAAATCTTACTGTTAATAAGCCGTAAGGCACTGGGTTGAATTATAGTGTATTTCAAGTTGAAGGAAGAAATAGCATGGCAAGATCCCTGCTAGCAATTAGCACATGGTTCTCACTCTTTCATTTCATGTTCTCTCCCTCTCCCTCCCCACCCCCCTCTGGTATATAGCTGCCTTGTCTGTAGTACTTTGCCCATCTCACAGGTCTGTGGTTACGTATGTGATACATGATAACACATGCCTACTGTAAGAATCTGTGGGTTGGGAAGAGGAGGAAGGCAGCAATGAATCAAATATGGCAGAGACATAATTAAATATCATATGTGTGCAGCATCATGTCTATTTACTTACATGGATAGTAATATGCCGGGAGCCATCCCCAGCTTGGTGGGAGGAGAAGGTGATTTTCTTTCTTCTCCTCTGGTTGGTTCTTCTTGAGGCAGCTGAGGGGAATGGGGAGAGCGTCGGCAGTGGGTAAGACCTAGGGTTAGGCTACTGTAGCTAGCTGGCCTGCCCTCTGGTATCCTCTGTCCAGAAACTGCAGTTTCTGGCACTTAATACCTCAGCCCAGGACAGCAGAGAGTTAGGCAGATATCCTTAGTACTCTCTCTGCAGGCACTGCCAGGCTCTAACTTAGGTCTATTGGTTTGAGGTCGCAGGAAGAAAAGGCACTTAAAGAAGTTATTGTAGTTTATTGCTAAGTGTAATAAGTTTCCTATGAAAGCTATCTAAGGGGAAAAGTGGAAAGGTTCTAAGTGGGGAAAAGGAAAAAATTCTAACAAAGGAAAAATTCTAAGTGGAGAGATTCTAAGCAGGGAAGAAGGAAGAAGGGAGAGAGAGAGAGAGGGAGAGGAAGAGGGAGGGGGAGAGAGAGAGAGAGAGAGAGAGAGAGAGAGAGAGAGAGAGAGAGAGAGAGAGAGAGAGAAAGTGAGAGAGAAAGTGAGAGAGAGAAAGAAGTGAAGTGAGATGAGGAGGC